CAAATAATGAGGGGGGTCTGGCTTTTTTCCTCCACTCCTTAGCCAAATACTATTTTTAAATACACTAGAGCCATATTTGGGCTGTTTCAACATATTGCTTATCTTTAGCTATGCCTTTAAATGGGGAACATAGTTTGGTGGTGAAGTTGGCATTGTTAGGTTTATGGTTGGAGTTGATGATCTGAATTGGCTTTTCCAACCTAAATGATTCTATGATTGTAAATGCTGGGTGAAAGTGTGTTATGGCAGTCTGTCTCTGGCTAACGTGTAACTCTTTACAAGTGACTAGCTGGTTGAGAGTAATATAAGGTTTCTAGTAACTTATCTGGTAAATAAGACAGTTACATAAAGTAAATCTTGGATCTAGACCCTTTAGAAGTTATTTTCCTTTAAACTTGTACAAACTGTCATAGTCTTGTTATGCAGATTAGTTTAAGAATGCCTCCATTTGAATTTCATATTGTTGCAGTGCACTTTTTTTGGTTTCAACTTTAAATATTAATTCTGATGATAATTTCGGGAGGAACATATGCACTGCTGTGTTTTGAATTTGATCTTTGTTTCTTGAAACAAAGTATTTAATAGAGCATGTTTTATATATATACACACATAGAGAATTGTGTGTATTTTCATCATGCTAAAGAATGACTTTTTTGAACAAGGGTTGTCATGAGGGCAGGTCCAAATCTTGATTTACAGTTTTCTTGCTCTTCTCACTCGCATTCTTAAAATTTGGGATATAGGATCAAAGCACTGTAGTCTTAAGATTTAGTATTTTTTGCTAAAATGAGGAATGCAGTCATAAAATGCAGTGCTAGCTGCCAGTCTAGGGGGTATGTGTGTATGTATTGTGCATGACTGTATGTGTATATGTACATATATACACACACACACCCCTAGGTGTGTGTATTGGCAGCTGACTCTTCAGCTTTAAAGTCTTCAGTAAGTGTAATAAATATTAAGGATCTGAATACATTTTTCTGATCTGCCAAAACGACTGAAGTGACTCTTATTTGTGAAAGAGCAAAGAGTTCCAAGAGTAAATTTCACTGAGGGAAATAAATTACCTTAGAGTGTGCTTTTAATATCCATCGCTTACTTATGTATATAAATAATAAGCTGCAGCAGGAAGAGGAAGTTTTTAAAAAGGAATAATGATGCTTACCAGGAATTGAGAACACAGTTTAGAAGCCACAGACTACTGAATTTGTCCTCCAGAAGGGATTATATGTTAGGTCCTCAGAAGGGCAGTGCACTGTTTTGCTGCTGTGGTGGAACTGGGCAAATCCTGTCTGCTCAATGCTAAAATTTCATAGCTATTCTTATACTGCTGCACATTTTTTTTTTTTTTTTCTCAGCATACAGGGACTAGACTGGTGATGATGATTTTGATTTGTTGTATTTCTGCTGCCTTTAGTAGAGGGTGAGCAGACAGTTCAATTGGAAATGCATGCACCTGTTACTTTCTAGCACTTCTGTGTGTATACAGATCAGTCTTTGCTGTGGGGACCAGTCTCTTGGAAGCACTGAAATACCCCTGTCTGGACTACTGAAGAAAGGAAATGTGGAGATTGATCAGCATCCTGTGGCAATAGAAGGAGCATTTGTGCTTGTTCCACCCAACAGAGCTAAGCAGAAATTTCCACAGTTGTCTTTGGATATGGCTCCTACTGTTGGAGTATCTGTAACTCTGCAAAGGGAGACCTTCAGTACCCAGGTATAGATTACTCATTTGTTTGTTTAGACACTGTTCTACAGTGTCTTAGATCATATTTGGCAGTTAAGTATGTAAATGAATATCTGAATGAGTTAGTTGCTTTATATGAATAATACTTCATACTGCTTCATTTTTCTGTCAGAAAAGTGATCTGAAAGTATAAAAATGTTGTAGACAAAATTTTTCAGTGCAAGGCATGATCAGTAAGAAAACTGTCTTTCATTCAGCCTTTGATTCCCTTAAATGCTCCAACCAAGCCTAAACAGCCAAGGGAGAAAGTTCTTTCACCTGTTAGTGGAAAAACAGAGGGCCTGCGGCAGAGATCCCAGAATGTCCAGTCTCAAGCTGACCACTCCTTAACAGAAGATGAAGCAACAGAAAGTGAAGCAGAAAGCCTTAGGTTTGAGAAAGGCACAAAACTGAAGAAGAAGGGTATGTAGTATATATATATTTTTTTTTTTAACCCAGTTGTCAAATGTGGTCTTGGATCATGTACTAATAATTTGTAGTGATAAAGTTCAGGCAAGTAAGAATTATTTGTGTTAATAACAAGAGGAGAATAAATGTTGTGATTTGAACATGGTGGTGGTTGAAAACACTTTGAAGAGATGGACTAGGGGGGATTTGGTGGTATGCAGATTACAAGTGATGTGGATGGTCATCAGCTTAAAAAATAATACCAGAAGTGTTTGGATTCTCTGAATTTGAGAATGGGAAGGTTCAGTACAATACCCATGAAAAAACAGACTTGCTCAGTTAGGAGGTGAAATGATCTCATGTTCACATTTATAAATAGAAGAGCAGGGGAGTTGTGACGTTTTTAAGATTTCTAGTGAATTTACTGTGTGGATAATTGTGCAAGCATTCGTATTGTACGGATTCCTGGACAAAACCAAGCAACTGGATTGTTTGTTTGTTTTTACGTTATCCTTTTGTATGGAGTTGTTAGCCCATATAGACTTCTAAGACTTCAGTTTTGATTTGAAGACTGTATTGGAAAGAAGTTGAGGAGGAACAGAGGTGAGAGAGGAAAAAATACTGTACTAAGAGTGAACCTCAGGAGAAACAATTGTTAGTTTGTTAAACATTACTGAACATGCATCTGAAGAGATGATTCATTATTAAAACAAATTATTATATTTTTCTAATGATATTTCCATTACTGGTCTTCTGAGCTTGATCCTGAAGACACACCAGTACTGTAGAGGAAAATCTGTGTCCTAGAACATGCTCCCAGCATTTGTGTAATTTAGCCAACTTTTGTTTTAATCCTAACTGATTTTACCCAAGGAAAGATTAAGTCCTTGTATGGAACATATCCAGAAAAATACTGTGAACCCAGTGGCTGGTTTGCATCTGTGGTTAAGAAATTCTGGGTTGTGCTTTTTTATGAGTAGAAATAATACTTCTGTTAACTCTGTTTTAGTACAATGTAAAGCATGTCATTTCGTGTTTCATCTTTCAGGGCTGGTGGGCGAATCTTGCCAAGAGGTTAACAAACAGTATGCTGAAGAGCTTCCAGTTTTCAAATCTAGGACCAGAGCAACATTGCCTCTAGTACCAGATCTGCAAAATTCCAGTAATGCACAATTTATTTTATTGAGTAAATTGAATGAATTTTGAATGTAGTACATGACTTAAGAATAATTAAAGAAGGAAAATATTGCAGAATCTTTTAAGAAAATTCAAAGTGCATTGGATTTTTTGTTTCCTTTTTCTTTTGGAAGCAGTGACTTAAAAGTAGAGTTGTTGTTTTGCATAGCATTATCTTATATTGCAAGGAATTGAAGTCTCTTGGGGTAGCAACCTATCTGTACTCGCCTTTAAATTGTGAGACCTATCTGGTAATATATTTTATTTTAGACAGAACAAATTATTAAAAATGCTTACAAATTATCTTCTGTGTTTTCAGCTGATAATGGCCCAGTAGCTGCACCTCAACCCAACCAAGTGGGTGCATCCAGTCTTTCTGAACATGTGTCAGCACAGAAAATTGTAATTCCAGCAGCCTCTCACCACTTTTGCTTTTCAATAGACTTACGAAGTATACGTGGTCTGGAAGTTGGCTTTCCAATAAATTGCATTTTAAGGTATGATTTATTAGCAAGAATAAGATAAACAAAAGTAACACTATCTTTCTTCTCTTTACAAAACCTTCATAATCTGAGTGGCAGCATGCTGGTATGATGCCTTTGACCTTTACATAGGTGGTTTTCAGTAGTGAAATACCATTAGAATGTTCATCTGACTTATCACTAAACTTCTGGGCATTACAACATTAAAGGTAGTATGTAACACTTAACCTGCACTAATTTGTATTAAAAGTCACTTGAATACTGGAGCTCAGATGTCATCAGGCCTTAAAGGAGGCTTACTTGTCTTATTTTCCAGCTGATTGAAGGAGTGATTTTGTAGCTTTCTGTGTCTCCACCAAGAACTCCTTGTTGTGTTTTAGTAAGAGACAGATCACCTGGTTTATCTGTGACAGTGAATCTAAAGAAAGCACATTCTAGTCTTACATTGAAGAACCAGTGTAGTAAATGCATTTTCACTCTGAGAGACAGTATTGGGTTTTTTGGTAGTCTTTGAATAAAAGAAGCAAAGCTTAGAAGGGAGAAGTAGCATTTTTTTTTTTTTACATTAATTTTGAGGTGTTTAAAAAACCAAGCTGTTCCGATTCAAGAGTTCTGTGCCTAAAGCAAAAGGAGAAAACAAATAAACAAAAATAAAAGAACTACCAGTGCTAGTTTGGAACCCTTGCTTAGAGATTAGGTTGTCACTGATGTCAACATGAAAGAAAAATATGGGAGCACTTTTGGAGAATAAGCAGATGTCGCCTGGAAGGTGAACACTAATTTGGAGGAATAAGAAATAAAAAGGCAAGGGACCAATTAAAAGTTAAGAGTGTTGAAAGTGTCTGTGTGAAGGTTGGGTTTTGGTTGGGACTGCAACATTGCAAGTGAAGAGAGAAGCTTCCTTTTCACAAAGTCTTTGTTTTGGTTTTGATCCTAAACTCTAAGGAAAATGTAGAGTTTGTAGATGCAGAGATCATTTTGTTCTTTAAAAAAAAACAAATTCCTCCTGGTAGAATGTCAGCTATTGATGGCATATGTAAATTCAGTGGTTTGTTGCAGTTTTTAACATTTGCCTTTCCATTACAACTCTTCTGGTGCATATGATGAAGCATATCTTTAAATGGTCATTCAGTTTGAGAGGGTTGAATATTTGTGGCTGTGAAGGTGCATCTGCATTTGCTTTGCATTTGTTGTCCTGGTGAAATTTGATTCGATACAGCTGTAGCTGGTCACACAGCAACCTATTTATGTTAATGGTTCTTGGAAATTAAGCTTTGTTTGAACTAAGGTAAAAACATGGGGTAGGGGTGGAATACTTTAAATCACAGCTAATATAGATTGCATCATTAATGGAATTCTATATAGGCTGTATTATTAAAGAGTATGTAGAAAACAGTGTACAATAGATGGAATTCTTTCACATAACATGAAAAAAATGTTTTACAACAGTGGCCACAAATAGGTATTGCTGTTTCATTCACTTCAGTTCTTACAATCACTGATACAAATGTCAAGAAACTGAAGAGGAGAATTATCCAATCATGTAAGTGTCAAGGAAAATTTCAGGCTAAAGTCTGCTTTTTTACTCTGTGAGCATTAGAATTGTTATTCAGGTCTAAACAAGCTCCTGCAACAGTTGTACACAAACAGCCAAGTATAGGATTTTGTCAGTGGCAGCATTTGATTCAGCGTTTATTAGTAACTTAGCTGACAGCTGACATCATTGGTTTGAGCAAAGCAAAGTTTAAGGTGTTCTTGGCCTTCCCTTCATGGTTTATCATACACTGACTTGTGCTAGTAGAGTAGTTTCAGGCCATATTGTAAATCATATTGGTAAAATGATTTGACTTACTTTTAGTGAATTGAACTGTGGGAATTAAAAACTAAATTCTTCAAATGTGACTGAAATTTTCAAATGGTTGAGACACTACATACATGTATGCCTTGTTATCAGTTACTGCTTATTAGGCCAGTCCTAGCTGTAAATACAGTTAGTGTTCTCAACTGTCATTCTACATTTGAATGTAAAATTGCATTCTTTATTTCCTTGTTCACTTTGTTAAAGTTCTGTAATTATTATATAAAAGATTAATTCATATGGTTGTGAACAAACAGGTTATTAAAGCTCTTTTGTCAAAATAACAGCAAATAGAAGTGAACGTGGATTGATGCTGAAGTAAATGAAAACATGAGTAGTTGAGAACTAAATTCTACTGTTTGGTGGATTTGTGCTAGTTTTGCTAACTAGTACAAGTCATGGTTTTCTTGTTGCAGAAGGTATAAGAAAAGTTATCTGTTTACTAAGTTATTTTAACTTTTGTTGTTGTTGTTTACACTAGGTACTCATATCCATTTTTTGGCAGTGCAGCACCTATTATGACAAGCCCACCTGTAGAAGTCAGAAAGAACATGGAAGTCTTTTTTCCACAGTCTTACTGTGCATTTGACTTTGCAACTATACCTCAGCAGCTCCAAGATACTTTCTTCAGGTGATTATTTTTATCTTAATTACTCTTTTTGTTGTTGTAAATGCAGTCACAAGTTCAATTTTTTTTTTTTTCTGAAGATCATCAGTTTGAGAATTTGGAAAATAATCTAGTTGCTAATGCTGATGAATACTTAACACATTGCTCTTCTAGTTTCTCTATTCTTTACATTTGGAGTTGGGGACTCTAAAATGTTTGGTTTTATCTCTTAAGTACTTTTACAAGCATCATTGCTTACAGAAAAAGGTTCTGTTGATATAGGTTGTTAAAGTAAAGATTGATAGCATAGTTTTAACAAAGCATTACTTCAAATGAGATTGGTACAGTTTTTATTTTTAATACTCAGTGACTATCTGATATCTTTGAAACACAGCAAGCACCTAGGAAGCTGAGTATAGTGTTGAGGGCTGTGGTGCAATTTTCCCAGTAGTCTCACCAGTTTTTGATAATTTATTAAGATGTGGAATAAAGAATTACCAAAGTAGTGTTATTTTGAAAGAAAATGTGGAGGGGATGTATTCTGTGAGGGACAATGACTAAAATTTATTTATAAAAATGTATAAATGAAGATGATCTAAGTCTGTTAAGACAATTCATTCAGTGACTTTCGCTGCGGGATTGTTCTTCCTAGTAAGTGGAGAAATGAATGGTAATCTGACCAAAGTAAGTGATGAAGAAGATAAAGTCCATCTCATTCTTCTGTGAGTGAGAAGCAGTCAACCTACCTCATTTTTTGACGGTTGTGACCATCACTTATTTAGGAAGTTACTTTTAGAACATGAGGTTCTTTTTCCAGATGAATAGGAATGCTTCCTCTTTTCTGTTGATGCCTGACACTAAAATAATTGATTTGTTTCAGATTACCTCTGCTGGTTGAATTGTGGCACAAGGATAAAACAGCTAAAGACTTACTCCTAGGGGTGGCAAGACTTCAGCTTTCAAATGTTTTGGCTTCAGAAAAAACCCGTTTCTTGGGTGGTAATGGTGAACAATGTTGGCGTCAGATTTGTAATGAAACTGTCAGTGTCACTGCAGCACAAGGGTAAAATGTTTAAAAAGTTACTCTGTAGCAAGTTTTGAAGAATTGTTTGTTTAGTATTTTCTCTGAAAAGGGACAAGCTCTTCCTGCTTACATTTTTGAACAGGTAAACAGGCTGCAGAGTACTGCAGTATAGGGATGGGAACAGGCATCAAAGAGATTAAAAGTTTAATTGCTACAGGCATATTGTGCAACTCCATGCTACTACCAAAGTTATCATAATAAACCTTTATATAGTCGTGATCCTGGCTAAACTTCATAAGCAGATTAAAAAAAAAAATTGGAAAAAAGTTGAGGCACTTTCCTGAGTAAAGTACTTAACAGTTACAAAAAGCTGCTGATACTCCAGCACATAATTAAGGCTGCCCATAGTAAGCTCTTAGGTGCAACTGACTTCAGTGAGAGGACAGATATATCCAGAGTGGAGAAATTTCCTGTTTCAGGATTATACCCTGTGATAGTAGGAGGCATTGGAGTTTGTGTGCATCAGAAGGAGCAGTGTTACTAGTTAGTATCCTGTCTGAAGGTGTGTTAATTTACATAGAGTAATATTCTTTTTTACGGATATCAAGAAACCTAATTTATAGTAGTTTCTGTCCTGTATTCTTGTTGAAGATATGAACTGTGACAGCAGTTGGTATAGACCCTCCTATTTTTCTGTGTGATAATGAAACTTGGTTATGCCTTTATAAATAAATATATTTGCTGCTAAGATCGAGGTTGGTTTTAAATCTGTAGTCCTATAGATAATTAAAACATGCTACATTTGATACACAGGAAACTTCAGATTACTGACATAGCTGGTATTCTGCATACCAACTGATAGAAAAATTGATCTGAGTTAATTTTTTCGTGTGTGAAAGCCACTGTGACCTCGTTCTGTGGACAGTTCCTTTGTGATGTCACTGTACATTAAGGTTCACACTCTCCAATAATAAGCTGGTTAAAATGAAACCTTGTTTTGCACAAAACTTAACCACTAGGTGGCATTCCGAAGATGTAATCAAGTCTGCATTTCGCTGTGCTGATACCTTTCTAGCATTGCTGTTGTAGGTGTCATGTGCTGTTTACACCGATGTGTTAAATTGACTTAATTACTCAGATTTCTGAGGTCCACTACTTTGCATCTTTTGGTTTTTAATCAGTGTCTGTTAGGATGTTGTAAGAATCTAATGCAGTTATGTATATTAACTTGGGTGAAGCACAAAATGGTTCTTTGGGTTGTTTTTCCTAGCTTTGCAAATAACTGTGTAGAATATGGCACCTTTGTGAGAATAATTTAGTCTTGTCTTTTTATGTTTGCTGGAAGAGAATGTCTTAGAAAATGACAGTCTTTAGTTCCTGCAGCCTTTTGTTGCAAATTGTGTGATACCTAATTCTGCACCTTCCAGGGTTCAAGTTATTGTGTAATTGCATCATTGACTAGATAAAACATTTTGTTTCTGACCAAGTACAGGTATACACTGCAGTGTATTTTCATGTTAGACTAGTGATAACTTTCAGTTCCATGACTTGTGTATTTTCCTTCCCTGAATACCTTTCTATGAAGAACACTACTATATTTACTACATTTTGTCTGTGATAGAGATGAGACAACTAGAGGAAAACTGTCCTGCTTAAGCAAAAACTGCAACTAATTTCAAATCAGTTTATTGAAATACTTGCTGTCAAGGTATTTTTTTTCACTTATAAGAGCATGTAGATATTTAACCCATGAGTGAAATAGGCAGTTCTCTGTACTGAAGTGTCTAGAAACTTTTGAGGTTTTTTTTCCATGATTCAAGGATAGCTTGCCACGTGATATGTTAAGTGACTTATTATACTGTGGAAAACTAGAAAGTTACCATTAACATGTTAAATACTTGTAGTGTAAATAATGATAATATTCTACATAACTTTTTAATGCTGTTTATAGGTCAGGCAACAGGATAGCGGAGCTTTCGTATGCTATCACTTTGGAAGACTACGGGCTCGTGAAAGTGCAAGAAGTTCTGGTGTCAGATTCTTCTCAAGTAAAGTTTACATAAGTCTTATTTTACATAAATCTTAACCCTTTTCCTTGAATGTTTTTTTTTTGAGAAGTTACATTTCCAGTTAAAAATCCATTGTTCTTATATCAGTGTGTAGGTGCTGGTCACGAACGGCAGGGCCCTTGCACCCAGCCTACTTGTGCCTCTGAAAACCATCCACAACCTCGAGAAACTCTTGAGTACAGAGCAGCACTGGAGTTAGAAATGTGGAAGGAAATGCAAGAGGACATTTTTCAAAATCAGGTTTTTATTCTTTCTGTTCATTTCCTAAACTGCATGACAAGCTTTAGCAGAACTGGTGAGAGAAATATTAACTGCATTTTTCTTTAACTTTGCCACTATTTCAAATGTTAATATTCTATATTCAAATATTCTTTAGATGTACACAATTGTCTTCCGTATTCTGAAGGAAGAAGGTTAATTCTTTTTTAAGTGACTGAAGTAGGTGCTAGGTAGTGAAATACAGAATACCTTCTTCACAATTCCCTCTTACTGTGTATGAAATACAGTAGATACTCAAAATTCAAATTACTGGTGTTAAATATTAACACTTCATTTCTTTATTCTCAAGTGCCTTGCTATGTTTCTACTCTTGAAATGATTCTAGGTAATATTAGTTGCATACAGCTTTTTAAAATCTAATGTCTGTTCGTTACGATTTTTTCTCTAACTTGGGCGTCTTACCCTTAAGTACAAAACACAAAGTATCTTTCACTACCAGAATGATACGTTGAGTTATATGTCAATGTATAAAACTTAGCTTTGAAGCAGAAGAATTAAAAACTTAGTTCTGCTAGTACTCCCTCCTTCAGAGTTGCTCTACTAACACTTTTGATTTAGTTTCCTGGCTTGGGGGTTGTTCCTTTTTTTTTTTTTTCCTTTTTAAAAGCTTAAAGAGAAGGAGATGGCTCATATGCAAGCACTTGCAGAAGAGTGGAAGAAAAGAGACAGAGAGAGAGAAGCTTTAGTGAAGAAAAAGGTAAAGAAACTCCATACTTGCTGAAGGTCCCATTAATATCACTATAAAACTTGACAAGATATTTTGTGACTGTGACATAGAACAAAAGGTCTGATTAGCCATCACACCTACTGGTGTGCATGCATCTAGTGAGCAAAAGTGCAAAAAATTAAAAGATGCTGTTAGTCATGGATACTTGTTAGAAATCCTTGACGCTAGCTTGCGTTCTTTGTGCGCTACTTAGCTTGGGTTACCTGCCACGTGCGTGGTACCAAAGTGCTTCCACGGCCCAGCTGTGTATGGTAGCCTGTTAGCCTTTATTGTGCTGTAAAGAAAGGGTCTCCATCATGATTCCTTCATTAAGAGCTGGAGTTCTGTTTTATATGTAAGTTTCCAAACAAAAACTGTAAATACTTCATACCACAGCAGGAGTAAATTTTTTGCTTGTCTGAAATATTTTTATTGCAAGAAAAGAGATGTTTTATTTTTCTTTTAGGTGGCAGAGTACACTGTTTTGGAAGAACAACTTCAGAAAACCCTGAGAGATCTAGATAAGCGAGAACGACAGCTTTTTAGTGCTGAGTCAGAGGTAAAAGTGTTTGGTTATTTTGCACAATGCAAAACTGCATGAGTGGTTTCTATAATGTTTGAGTTTTCATACAGAAACAATCGTGACCTCTGTATAAGAACTGAAATAGCTGCAGTCCTACTGATACATAGAGCTGAGCCCAAATAATTTAAGCCAACTTTTGCTTACAACTACACTTTTTACAGAACAGGAAATTCAATGAACTCTTCAATGGGTTGTTGGCATTACAGACCCGTAAATTCCCTGTTCTTAACAGAATTAGATTGAAATATGCTAACATTGTATAAATGGCTCCACTGACAATTTCAAGTTTAGTGCTGTCAGGTGAACGTTGTACAGATGTATGAGAGTGCCTTACTTCAAATAGTAACAGATAAACCACTGAAATAGGAGAGAGTCAAAAGGAGAGTTGGGGAAACTGTAATTACTAAGTTGCTGCATAACAAAACATGGATAAAGTTCCTATTTCATATTGGTTTTATGGTGACAAGGCTGAAGAAGATGCAGGAGAAACTAGTAGCTACCACTGTTTCCAGATCCCACTGGACACACCTCAAGATAAGGAAATGGGGTGTGAGTCCTCAAGGAGGCTAGTCAAATGAAAAAAGAAAATAAGCTGCCTATTCTTGTAGTTCAGAGCAAACTCACAAATATATAGATAAACTGCTGTGGTAATTTAGTAGTCCAACAAACTTCCTTTTTCCTTCTGTGGTTCAGATCAAACTTTTTATCATATCAGTCCTTCCTTGTGCTTGTGAGCAAAGTTAAGAAAGCTCCCAAAGCAGGGACTGGCTGATGGAGCCCATGTCCTGTTCTGTACTCAGGCTGTCTGTACCTCTCAAGATGCAGTTTGTGTTGTAAATAGTGTCTGACTTTATCTTTAACATCTATGCAAAAAATTCAGTGAGTAGGTTTGGCCAAATGCATTTCAGTCTGAGTAAAAGTATTTATTTTGAAACTCATACATGTTTGTCTCCAGACTTGCTCTAAATTTAGTGAGAGTCTGACCTGAGGGTTTAGAGATAATTAAAATCAATGGATTCCAAAAACCTCTAGACAAAATGATGTAGGGTTCACTTAGCAATTACAGTTTGAGAAATGTGCCATTTGGAGAGGTTTCTTTTCAGCTAGCTGTTATCTGGGCCAGTAATAGCTTTCTAGAAAGCTGAAACGTGTCAAGAACTGTTTTCCTGTTTAGCTCATTGAGAAATTTTCTTAATATACTCAGTTGGAAGTGTGCAGTCTTACTGATTTAGAGGTATCTTGGCTGTAGCTGTAACTTCATTTTTTCTGCAGTGAAGGGGCATGTTTAGCATTTTAGTTAGTAGTAGAAAGGTGAGTAGAAAATTTCCCTTAATCTCATGTGGAAAGTACAGTAGAGATACAGATAGACTCTTCCTTGACTAGTATAGAGATGGAGCTATTTGTAGCCCAAATATAGTAATTTTCAGGCCTTTAGTTAAAATGGAAGCAAATAGAAGAGTATATAGCAAACACAGATAACAGTGGAATTTCTACTGTTTAATTTCTAAATTGGCTAACAATTTTTTTCTGTAATGAATGGTAGCAACAGTTGTAAGAAGGGCTTTTAAAATAAAGCTCTTGAACCTGTGGATTAGTATAAATATGTCTTACTTCTAAGCTTCAAATAGTAAAGAAGGAGTTGCAAGCAGAGCATGAACGAAATCTGCAGGAGCTACAGGATTCTTTACGACGAGCCAGAGAGGAATGTGCACACCAGGTAGAGCTAGAAAGGTCAAAAATCAAGCAGCTGGAAGAAGACAAGGTTCGCTTACAGCAGCAGGTAAGTAAATAGCTGAGGTAGAAAATTTTAGTGTACTTAAGTAAGAATTATTTAAAATAAGTATATTAACATGAAAATGGTTTTGACCAAATGCATGCTGGCAACTTTGCAGTGAACTATTTGTATCCATTTTTTGGTGAGTTTTGTGCTGGGATCCATCTCTTGCTTGGTACTGGGGCCAGTTTGCAATGCAGTGGCTATAATTATTTTTGTAACACTGAAAAATGAAACTGTAATTATAAGCGTACATTACATGTACAACTTGAACAGCAGTATACAATTCTGTAACTTAATAAATAATTAGCAATTATCATACAGCAAAACATCTACGTAGCTTGACTGCAGTTCGTTTTATTTGTCCATGGCAAAAAAGTGTTACTGGGGGGGAGGGAACAGAGGGACAGGGCACAATCTTCTGAATGTAGTAGTGGTTTTATTAAATTGAGAAAACTGAGACCAAGTTTTCTTGTCCTGTAAGCTAGCTTTTGCACTAGGAAAAAGCCTTGTCTAGCAATTTTTCTTGACTCTTAAAGCATAGTGTAAAATTTTTAAAGTGGTATGAGCTTTTTTGAGCAGTTGCAACATTAGACACTTCCTTGGTTGTTAAGCAGATTGTTTTAGTAATGGGTAAGTGCTTTTCAAAGTACTTAGTTTATGCAGATCAGTTATTTTTCGTGCCTTTAGTTTCTTATATGTGATAGTGGTAATCTGCAGTAGACAACTAATTGAAGAACTGTATCAGCCCAAGGCATTTTTTTTCTATTAGGAACAGTGGTGCTGGGCTTTTTACTTTGATGTTAAACACTGATATTAACCTACTTCTTATCACATCAGCATATGTTAACACCAGTACAGTGAACTTTTAAAACAGAGCTAATACAAAAGAATCCTGCTAATGTAGAAGATGCTAATCTTGGCTGCTCTACTGAACAATCATTGAACTGAGATGAGCAGTTCCAAACTGTGGCATGTGATCCACTTACCACTTTGAAGTGGATTGAGTCTGCTTCACAGATGTGTTGTTGGCAGCTACCAGTGTTGTATCAGTCTAGACAAGATAGCCAATAGTTCTTCAGATTCAAGCAGCCAGATGCACCACAGAGGAGGCATCTTCCAAATTAATTCTTTCAACTCTCACTGCCTTTTTTAGCTAATTTGCAATACTACCTTAAATTACTTTTTTTCCTATTCTGAACAGGTAAGCTGTACCAGCCCAAAGATCGAGTTAGCTGAACATTGTTGCAGCAATGGTTGGTTTTAGAGGGCAAGAAAATAAGAAATGAGACAGTGAGAAAATACAATTTTGATGTAACTCTTTACAGTATTGCTGGATATATCAGAGACAGCATTTTGTATTTACTAGTCAACAGTGAAAGTGTTTTTCCATGAACTCATCTGATCCCTGTTTAAAAGTGTTCATTTTTAGCATGGCAACATCCTGTGGAAGTGAGTTCTAAAACTTAATTGTGTTGCGTATTATACTTCTTTTTGTTCATTTTAAGTTTGTTCCTTGATAGTTATGGAGAGTCCTTCAGTGCCTGTGCAACATACTATTCCTGATTGCTTAGCTGTCTGTCACGCTTTCTTCCAAACGCAAGCCCTGCTGTGTTTTGTCTTGCTTTTTGTGAAGGCTGTTCCTTTCCAATGGAGGCTGGAAGAACATCCTGGCTGTCTTCCTCTCTTCTCTTCCTGATATTTTGAATCTCTCTTATGCTTCAATATGAGGTGGTTGTTACTGTGTATTCTGCATAAGATCATCTTTTAGTTTTGCTTTGTTGAGAGTGGGGTGAGTGGTTTTGTTTGCTGTGGATTCTCACTGTAGGATGATTGCCTTTGTAATGTGCACATGCACCAAGTTCCTGTTGACACCAGTTCTAATGGGCCTGGGTTTTTTACCTTTCTGGGTGTGAGCATTGTGCTTTTGTGTTTTGTGTTTTCCTTTTTTATTATCAAGGAATGTGCTGAAGTAAATTGTAGTAGTTCTAAACAGTATGCTTTGACTTATTCTGTACATTTTAAGGAGGTGTATCGGTACAGTTCTCACGTGTTAATTATGGAGGTCTCTAAATGTCTTAACTTACTTGGAGGTAAGCCACACTATGTGGAAGAGAAGGTCCTTGAAACATCTACCTTGAACACCACTCTTACTTCCTGAATAAGGAAGCTGTGCTTTGTTTGTATGACTTGTGCAGTTCCCTGACAGTCCATAACTGGAAGTCTCATGAAAAATTCAATTTTTGAAAGTGTTTTCAGAATCAAACAAATTCAAATTTATTGTAGAATTTCTAGGAAGAACTTCCATACATTTTCCGTAGCTAAAGAAATTAGTTACTGCCTTTGTCATCAGCAACATGTCTGTGTCTTCTTTAAAAGAAAATTGGTGAAAATGGAAAGAAAGTGAACAATAGTTAACCTTCAGAAGCAAAGCTGACTATCAGTTATATACGAAAAGTAATTTCAGTGAACTATGGTTATGTATGGCTCCTTAGGGAAGTGTCTTTGCTTTCTTACATCAATTCTGTGAAAATAATATATGCAAAAAGTGAAATTTTGGAAGAAAGAGGTGACTCAATTTGTATATTAAAAGAATTCAACTATTGCTGCACTAATAGAATAAGGTCAAGGCTTTAAAACAGAACTTAATTCTGCTAAGCATTTTTACCCATTACTTTAAATTGTTCAATACAATTCTTAGGAATACTTGTATTATCTAAATGAACATGATCACAAATGCTGCATTTGTATTTATGTTCTATGATGGAATGCATCATTTCTATCAGATGTATTAGGATCTTTATAGTTGAATAATATTTAACAGAAGAAGAACGTAAGCTACTGTCAGAAAACATCTTAAAAAAATTCTGGCTTTAATATGGTGTAATAAAACTTGTAAACATTTGACTTGGTTTCTTTGTGGCAAAGTAATTGTTTATTGGCATGGGTTTTCAAATTACCCATTTTAAGATGAAAAGCAAAGCTCTCTGTTTATAAAATATTCATCAAACTAGAAGTATACAGTGAGGGTAGAGGTGCATAGCATAAAGTTATTAGTCACTGTACGTCTTTCTGCTTCAGCCTTTCTTGTAAATCATTATTTGACTGTACAAAGTATTAGTTGTTTCCTCTTCCAGACATTCTTAAACAAGTTATGCTGATGAAATTAGTGAAACTTTATATAGCAGATAGCTCCTTTGGCTTTCTTTAAAATATATATATATATATATATATCGAAATAGCTTTGTTTTCTGTTTCTTCTGCAAGTCATTTTAGAAATGTGAGCAGCAATGTTTGTAAATCTTGATCTACTGTATATGAGGACAGACTTGTTTTCTTTCCAGTACTGAGCAAAGTTCCTCTTTAAAATTTTTTCCTGTTAAAATGCTGCTGTATACCATCATCAAGAAATCATTAGTTATGGATGTGTAGCTTTCAGTGTCTGTTTTATATCAGTTAATTGACAGTAAGATGTTTGTTCCAGGGACTAAGGAGTAACAAGTTCTGTAACCTAATTCTTTGTCTGTGAATGTCTTTTTTTCTGTTAACTTCATTGTATCTTTAATGTAGCTTTATGAAGCAGAAAATAAGCATAAAATTTTGGAGAAGGAGTTCCAGCAATACAAAGAACAGCAAAGTAGCAGACCAGAAATCCAGCTACAGTCAGAAATAAATGTCCTCACTTTTGAAAAGGTATCTTGGATTTTTCTAGTCCTTAAAAACTGTCACAATGGTCCATTCACTGATAAGGGAGAAGTAGAATAATCTTGCATAATCAAATGGTTAATTTGTCCGTTTTGTTTTACTTTTCCCAAGAACTTCTTCATACTTTAAATATTCAGATACAGTTTAGACCAACAATGGCCTTATTTCTATAGAAGTAGTGTTACAGGCTAAGGCAGGAAAAAAACCTAACCTGTGTTTTTAAATTGCTACCATACTGATTTCTTCTAGGGACTCTGAGCATTCTGTTCATAAAACTAAAAGATGAAGATTTTATTGTGAGGATTAATTTTAAAAGGTATTCCATTATGTGCATTTTTAAGTTAAATATTTTTGAAAAGAGGTAGTATTATTTACCAGTGGAGTGGAATCAGTGTCATAAGTTGATTTCTTAAAAGCTGTATGTGCCTTCAGTAGAGGATAGTTTGCTAATTAAAATCACAGATATGGACATTTTATGCTGAGAATTATTGCGAGGTTTGAGTGAAATTTTTGATGAAGTGAGCTGAAACAAATTGGAGCAGTCTTCTTGGAACAAAATAAACTGTTATATAGCCAGCCTGCATGTTACTAGATGTTTGAATAACTTATAATAATACAAGCAAATTATTTGGAGTATGTTTCTGTCTCTACAGACCTTTTTAAACTCTTACCTTAAATATTTTTAGATTTCCTATTTTTGTTAGATTGAAAAAAAAAAACCAAAACGCCAACAAACAGTGCTTCAAGGTCTGCAGAAATCCAATAATAATTTGTCTGATTAGAAGAAAATGTCACTGCCTCATAGTTACTAATTGAAAATGCTTCTTTTTCAGCTTACTGTGTTTTGTGTGCTTTGTAACTGTTTTCATTTGCCTTTTCACAGAATGCAATGAATTCAGTGTAACATGTTAAGTTTTATTTAGATAATAAGATCAAAAGTTCACAATAGATAGGTAGATTTTTAAAGAATGGTTTGAGCAGATGTCTGTTTCAGAGAAGAATGTAGCACAAATCTTCCGTCAGCTGCAGGAAAGGAAAAAAAAAAAACAATTACTCATCTTTTAAAGGCAAGATTTATCCATCAGTGTTTCTCTTAAATTGGTGTTTATAATCTTACTTTGAAAAAAAAAGGGGGAGGAGGCTGCTAATTTGAGAATCTTAAATTTAAAGGTTACATCAGAAGATTTAGTGCTAAAAACTAATCTTTTTCTTTTTGTATAGACAGCTGTCCAATAAAAATAAGGCTATATTTTAAACAAGAAAATGTTCATGTGCCATAATATTTATGTTATGTTATATAACAGCTTCAGATGATGTTGTATGTTACACTACATAAACACTTTTCTTAAACCAGACCCTTTGTATATATACATCTTTCAGTGATTGTTACTGCTGTTATTGCTTCAGCTGATATGATTTTAATTGCTTTTAGGTTGAACTTGAAAGAAAGTTAGAAACAGCTACCAAGACAAAGCTCCATTTCAAACAACAATGGACAAAGGTTTTGAAAGAACTTGCAAAGTTAAAACAGGTATGCAGGTTTTCTTGTGCTTTCTGAGTCAAACAAGTTAATGTACTGTGGGAAGCTACTTATTACTGTTAACTACTGGCAGTTTTCATTTTTATTAGTGTTTGTCTTCAAAAATTTAAAGCTCTGAGCTGTGTTTTTTTTCAAAAATAACAAAAGCAAAATCAGTTTGATGTTGAACTCAGGAAAACAAAGGCTTAGGTCTGCATAAGATGATGATTCACATAGCTAAAACTAGACATGATTTAGAAAAAAGTTTTATTAATTTAATTCCCACTAATGCTTGGTTAGCACTTCCAAAGAAAATCTTTTATTCCTGTCCCAACTATCTTCATCAGTTATGGACCTAACCGTTTTGCATTTTAAATGTAAAATGAATGAGTAAAGATAAATAAATCTTAGCTTTTAGAAACAGTGGTTTAAGGTTTGATGAATGCTATCAAATAAACTTACAGAAAATGTAAACTGAAAATGAAATTTTTTGTGCTTTTGGAGATCCCAATCTCGTAGTAATGTGTATGCTTTTTTCCTGCTGTATTTTAACAGAGTTGGTGAGTGTACATACATCTATATAGTCATACACATCTGACTTGAAAATACTATGTTGAAATTTGCAGGAATAGCAGGTAGTGAATCTGTATAGCTGCTGTTTTTGTTGTCACCTGTCTTTCATGAATGACAGTCAACATTGGCTAAACAGTATATGTAAGAATAGCAAGGATTTCCTTTGGCTTTGACAAACAAGTAAAGCATTGATCCCTGTTGCTGAACAAACCTTGGAATAGACATAAAACTTCAGAATTCATCATTCGTTAAGTTTATTTCCTATATTTTTCCTTCTTGAAGAAAAGTGGCTTGGGTTGTTTGGCTTGTTTAAGGATTACAGTTCCTACTTAATTCCTACTGCTATGCTATTCAGTTTTTGGAGAGTAAGAAGCTAACCCCACCCTCTCCTAATGGATAACTAACTTTTTTTAATCTCCACTTCTCTTTGAAGAATGTGAATGTGCTGTATAATCACTGTTAATGATTAAACAGTCATCTCTTTTTGCTGTCTTGAAATGGATCCTTTATTGCTTAGTGATAAAAGGAGTCATGAATACTGATCTGCAATTTCTGAAATATCTATGCTTGACAAGATGATAGAAGGATGAATATAAATCTTAACTATCTGATAAAGTTTTCTTCAGCAGCCATGAAGTGTCCAGGCTATTTTTTTCTTACTGCAATATTTTGTAATTCCTGTGGGATAAAAGAGAAGACTGTTGTTTGCCAAATCAACTCTAGTATATATTACTGCCAGGCTTTTTATTATAAATTTCAGCACCATAGACCTGACAATCTGACTTTTAACATCTAGATGGTTTCAGCTGACCCTCTCACTGGAAGTCTGAAACATGGAATAAGTGAATTATGCTATCTAAAACTTTATTTTACCACAGAACAAACCCTTTTGAAATTGTTTCTTGTAGTTTTTATAGTCCTGTGCTTCATCATATATTTAGCCTATCGGTAAAGGATTTAAAGGGCTTTAAAGAGCCAAATAAAAGTTGAACCAGAGCTGATCAAAAAACATTTACTGTGTTTTAAGTATAAATTTGGAAACTGTTGCTTCAGAAATTCTAGATTTGCTTTAGTTTAGATGATTTGTGCAATTGTGCATATTTTGACCAATTTATTGTTTGAATTGGATTAGTACCATGTTAATTTTGCATTGCCTCTGGTGAATAGCCACAGGGCTGTAATCTGTGCCAGTAATTTGTCACACCAAAGCTCTCTAGAGAACTATACAAAACATTTGTGTAGTGAGGATTAGACACTGAAAGCCATATCTTAGATTGTTAATAAATGTTAATGACAAAACCCAGCTGGTAAGTCTTGGAAATGAGATCTAATGCTTTGTGCCCATTGCCAAAAAAATGTTTAAACAGAGATTTCCATTACTCAAAGGTGACCTTGTACAGTCAATCTGTGAATTAAAGAAGCATAACCTACAGGCTAAGCATTTAGTAAAATGCTTTTATGATTTGCAACCATAAAAGTCAATGTTTCCTTAATTAAAAAGTTTCCTCTTACTTTGGAACTAGTTCTTAGCATACATCTGTGGTTTTATATTTTGCAGAATATGAGATATGCAGTACATAGAAAATGCACTAAACCTCTCAATGTCTAGGATTTTGAATGCTAAACACAGTGCCAGTGGTAACCAAAAATAGATCTGAAGTACATGAGGACACATGCATGATGCTTACCTGTGCTTAACAAAATACAGAAGTTAGTTGAATTTAAACTCAGTTTGTGAAGCTGAGTGAATGTAGAATTCAGCCAGCTTACATCCCTCCTTTTTACTCAGTGCAAGTCTATATTAATACTTCATTTTTTACACCCCTGTTCAGCTTTAGGAAGACAAAAATGTCAATGTTAGCTACATACCTATGCACTCGGGTAGACTGTAATTTCCAGATGCTTCCAAAACTGTCTTTTGGATTTTTCTGACTGGGGGTTCTCAATACCACACAAATGAGTCTTCTGTAGTTTTTATGTGTGAGCATTATTTCTGAGAGCAACCAACTCACTTACACAAAATTGCATACATACTTACAGAGATCTTAGATGCTAAATTCAGTACCTGTCTGAGTGCAGGAAACAGTGTACCAAAACAAAAATCAAAGCTGGCAGAAATATAATCTTCAGCAGTTGATACATCTCTTATCATCTAGAAAACCAAAAAATGTACATGCATACATGATTCAGTGTATGAGAATACACTGAAGAAAATACTGGAGAATACACTGGAGAAATATTTTTTCTTAAGTCTTTTAATGTGTTTGTGCCCTACAGATCTGTTAAATCCAGCACTGATGCCTTTAAGACAACACAGACTATATTGGCTGGCTGACATTCACTCTGTCTTGTCCAGTGTCTTGCTTATCCACTCAGTAATTAATTTGATTAATTTATAAGTAATTTAGCCAAGGATGGGATGTAAATCTTTGGGTTTTTTTAAAAAAAGGCACAAAAACCCTAGTTGGCAGTCCAAGTCTTGGTTAAAAACTGTGTCTTGAAACCATCCAGGCCCTCCTACAAACTTGTCAGCTCTGGGTTATTTTCAGAAAACTTTACTTGAGTTCCTTAGCTTCAGTTGTAAGTTTTTCCCACAGACTTGCATGGTATGTGTGAGTGGGGGAGTGAATAGTGGCTGCTATTTAGCCATTGTTTAGTCTAGTGTATGTATGTTTACATCTCCCTTTTGGATTTATAGGCAGCTATGGCAAAATAAAGATTGCGCGTTCTTGATCGAAGAGCCTCTTGACTAGGGCACCTGGCAGAATACAGGGGTTCTTGTATGATAATTGAGATGTTGAGGATTTTTTATTACTGGTTAATTTTTATTTAAAGCTGATATTCCTGCAGTACCATAGGTTTCAAAACATGATTGAGTTCCCACCATGTGAGCTTGTAAGACAGTATTCCATGTCTCAAGCACTACGCTAGGGATGAAAACTAATGAAGAAAAGTAGTAAAACATTGAAAAAATTATCTGATAACTAGCATATGGCTTTGGTTGAGTTAGAATTTTGTTGAGGAGGATGGCAAATTATTAAATTAATAAGACAAAGGGATATTGGTGCTAAGTTTTACTGTGGTGGGTAAAAGGAAAGAAAATGAGCAAAAGCAATAGCATGCATAGCAGTACTAAGTAAGTAGTGGAGAATGTACCTGGGCTAACTAAGAGCATATTGCAAAAGTAATTCTCAGTAGTTTGCACACGGTGCTCTTAGTTCATCTATGCCTGCCTCACTGTCACTGTGGCTGATGATAATTCAATGGTGATGCAAGAGTAAAGCTTCCAAGTGTTCTGAGTTTCTAGTGGGTCTTAGCTTCCATCCACAAAGTTGTCTTTTGTCCAGCAGCTGAGGATTTGAGTGTTCACTCTCCTGCAATTTCAAAAATGAAAAATTCTAGATGTTCAAAATTTAAAATGCTAATAGAATCATAGAATCCTTTAGGTTGGAAGGGACCTCCAAGATCATCACGTCCAACCATTGAGCCAATAGGGCTCTAAAGTCCTCTGCTAAAACAGATCAGAATCTGTCATGACTGGAAGGGACCACAAGGATCACCCAGTTCCAACCCCTCTGCCATGAGCAGGGACACCTCCCACTAGATCAGGCTGCCCAGAGCCTCATCCAGCCTGGCCTTAAAGACCCCCAGGGATGGGGCCTCAACCACCTCCCTGGTACTTAGGCTTAAAACAGTCTGTCTGGCTACAGTAAACAACTGGGAATAAATCCAAAGTGTTCCTTATTGCAGGGTATGTGATAGCATATTCCCTCTGGAAATGTAATGTATGTCAGGAAGTCTTAACTGAGAATTTTAAGCATGTATGTATAAACTGTGTGCATTGGAGTACACTTTAAAAATACTTCGTATTCAATTATAAGTTAGTTTTTAAGTATAAGCAGAATAAAATGAAGATGTTACATATGGATTTTGAAATCCTGGACTTTGCTTTATTGGTACCACAAATGTGCAGAAGTGTTTTATTAATATTAGGGGGTTTTGATTTTGAAGATCTCACAGCAAATTCTGCTATATTTCAAGTACCTCTATGCAGTAGAGTTCAATTCCTTCTCTGGTTTAAAAAAATACTGCTTGTTGCCCATTGGACTATGGATTGTTAAACTGATGGAAGTAGTGGATTTAATACATGCATGCCTCTGATAAAGTGGCACCAGTTTCATCACTGATGAGTAAGGATTCCTTCCTTCTCTCTCACAGTAACAAAAGACAGTCTTTCTATGGCCCCTCATCATAACAAAATTGTATACAAATTCAAAATCGGTACCCCTCACTTCGTATCAAACAACCGCTGTAAATTCTTTACCATCTTCTTGTACTGATGGATTACTAGGAAGTGGGTTTCTGTTGCTCTTCTGTGAATGGTATACATAGAGCATGTTTGCTCTTATGCACCCCACAAATTGTTGTGACAGACTTTTAAAGGAGCCAAAGCCTAATGTTGGGAAAGACATTTCAAAGTCAGAGTACTAAGAGCGTACCTTAAATTACACACGGGATCCATCATAAATGAATCTGTAGAATCCCTTCTCACTCGCTTGCATGTCTTTTTTTAAAGTTGGACTGACTCAAACTGAATGCTAGAGAAATCTTGCCTCAGAAGATGTTGATTTTTTTTTTATCTTATTTGATGTTACTGTCCTTAAATGTCATTATTCAAGGTCTTAGCATGGCATGCTTCAGAAATTCTTGACTTTCACTCTTGCAGTCATCTTTTCCCTTACCCCTCTCAAACAAGGAAATGCCAAGTGTCTGTCATATTTACATCACAATTGTATTAGTAATCCAATTAAATTTCTAATCACATTTATATGAAAGGAAGTCCATCCAACAGTAATTTGGAGACAAAATGCACTGGTATGTATTTTTTCTCCACTACTGAGAAAAGAACAGTAGTTTCTGTATACAGACTTACTTCCCTACAAATATAGAGATACTATCCTGAGCAACAAGCATGCTCACTAGTGACACTGATTGTAAATTTTTTACATAGAAGTTTCTAGAGAAAAAAAGAAAACAAAAACAAAACAAAACAAAAATATAAATGAACAAAGGACTCTTCAGGGATGCCTTGGTTTTCCTACATCTCTCCTTGGAACCTTTTGCATCATTCTCTTTTGTCCTTTCCTTGGTTTTATTAAACATTACTAAAGACTTTTCTTAAGGGAAAAAAAACGCTATGGTTCTGAAACTAACTGGTTTGGTGAGGGCATAAAGGACCAAGATGTTAAAAGAGTCCTTGTGATCAATGTTAAAGAATTAGGAATGTTGTATTTTATTCCTGGTCTGATGGAGCTTCAGACTTTGTTCTATTAATCTTCAGTATATTTACTTTGTCTAATGTATAGTTTTCCTTTGAGTTTGTTTAAAATGCCTTCTTTGCTGTCAGGTTGCCATTGTGAGCATGTTGCTGAACAGCAGAAACCTCTGGGTCACTGAACTTTCCTGCCTCAAATAGTAACATATCAACTTGTCACAAAGTTTGTAGCCCTACATGCTTCTTGTGGCCACCACACAGTTATGTCTTTCTGCTGAAGCAGCAACTGTAGGAGCACTATCAAAATCTTTCTTTATAGACCTAGTAATATTCCACATAGTGAATGACTGGTTTAGAATACTTCTATTCAGTGTAACAACAGCTATTTAATTGTTTGTATGTATTATGGCTCTCAAAATCTGTTTCATTAGTAGACAGGGATGTCCTTTTCTGCTGGTGTGTTAAGTCTTGCTGTGCTAGTGCTAAGTGCTACCCTGTTTAGCATTAGTTTTCCAGTGTTAGTTTTCGGGTGATGTTTGCCCAACACCTTCAAAAAAATCCTGTCGAATTGCTGAGGTACACAAATTTAACTGACTTAAATTAATATTTAGTTCAGAGCAGAATTAATTGTTTCAGCCACCATCTGCAACAAAGGTAATCATGTCTACAAATTAGCACAGGCAGAAAGGCTAGAGAAGTTGATAATGGCAGTCAGAAGTCCTCTTTTGTGTTAAAGATTATTTTTACATTATCTAAGAGGAACATGCCAGCCTCATTCTCCACAGTAATGGTTTTTTTCCACCCTGCAGATTGAGGCAGTTTGCTTCTGAATTGCACTTCTGTAAGTCATATGTGGCTTCCAAGACTCTTAGAACTGTTAGATAATGTCAACAGGAAAACCAGGTTGTACCAGACAAATTAAAACCAGAACTTGGATATACAAACTGTACTGTATCTACTACAGGAATATGTATAGCAAGTTTCTTAATACTCATCTAATCAGGAAAAGTAGCTAGGCACCAGACTGAATTACTGGATTTTCTACTTCTTTGGACAGACCAGTGGAGATTTCTAGACTTATTCTACATGCAAATGGCACAGCTCCTCTTCTGAGGCAAAATAGAGCATTTCAAAAGAGATTTAACATAAGTGAAATTTCAAGTCTCATGTTTGCCGTCAGGTAATAGTATCAATTTTTTTTGTCCTGAAATGTAGCAATATCTTAACTTGCTTCACTTTGAAAAGGTTTAAACTTAGGATATCAAATGAGAGCACCAAGAATAATGATAGTCTCAAAAAGAAATATTAGCCTGTCATCATGCTTCTAGATTCTGGGTAACTGAGATAATCAGATTTGCAGTCCTTTTATTTACTGGTACTATAACTTAAGTTGTACTAGTTTTATATTAGCCTATTTGATACTAGATGATGCTCAGCATTTTGTGTTGCCTATATTTAGCAGAGCAAACAACTCAAACTATCAAAATGGTTAAGATAATTCCTTCTCATAGCCCATAGTATTTGTGGTCTTGATGCTGCTGTCTATCCAGATATTTTGAAACCAGAGAATACCACAAGGTTATTTTCTGAGACTATAGGAAAAAAATGACCCTCTTTCTTTTCTTTAAATCCTTCAACAAGTAATGATTGATCTGTAGCATTTTTTAAAATACAAATGTCCACTTTAGTTCAAAATGTTCTGTGATGAAGAATCATAGCCTGTTTTGGGTTGGAAGGGACCTTCAGGATTGTCTAATTGAAACCCCCAACAGGTATCAATCTAGTCCATGCAGAGACCATCAGTAGGATGCACTAGATTTAGAAACCCAGTGTGAGTATTTTTGACTATTCCACAGCTGCCTTCAGTCAATTGGTTAGGTATATCATGAGCAAGTGATTGCATTCAGGCTGTCACATTTAATAAACATCAGTGAAAGTATTCTTAATTTATCTGCTTCCTTTTCAAACTAATTCATATTTTTGTCTCCATAATATCCTTCTCTCTCACTTCCATTTTTTCCCTGCTGAATAATTTTCTGTCAGCACCAAACTGATTATTCCAGAATTACTTCCTTGTGAGTATATCAAAGAATAAGTTCTTGTCGAGTCTAATGTTATCTTCATGTTAATGTGGAAATGATCAATCATCATCCTTTCTTTCTTTGACAGCTTAGTTTTGTGTTTGGTTGTAGGTGGTTTCTTTGGTGTGCTTTTTTGTTGGGTTTGTTTGTGGTTTGTTGTTTTTGTTTTTTGTTTTTTCTTCCTGGTGTACTCATACATCCTGTTTCGGTTTTTGTTCCATTTTAACCAATTTGGCCACTAAAAAAGTAAATCTTACTCGTAATTCCTATAAATTCCTACAGCTTCTGTTTAAAAACAAGAATAAAAAGTGGAGGAATTGTTATTCCAGTGATGTCAATACCAATTCTAGTGATGGATTTCACCGCCAGCTAGTCTTGCAAATTTGTTTGAATATCCCTAGAACTCCTGAAAACTCTTGGATAAGTATCATCTGACTGTGGTGACTTGTTAATATTTGCTGTATGTATTTGTACAGTCCTGTTCTAAAATGTATTCTACTTCAGTCTGAGACACTTCTTCAAACCTATCACACATAAAAAAGGATACCTCTTACATAGGAATGTTCTTCTGAAATGAACTCTTGATGGGGAAGGATGGACTATGTCCTTATCTTTGCTGAGTCCTCTTTTATGGTTCATGTATTTGTCAGCTGTAGACTCTTTGGCAGGATTCCTGCTTCTGGTTTTATTGTTAGGATCTTCTCTTTAACAACTTGTTCTTCAGGCTTTCTGGCCTGTCTTACTGCAGTTATAACATTTAATTTGCCTGGCTAGTGCTTTGGACTTAGCACATATGTAACCCTAAAATACTTTATACTATGATTTCTTGTTAAGTACTTATCTGTTGCATTGCTGGTTCACATTAACAATTAGACTCTTTCTTTATACCAATTCCTTGTGAAATTCAGATTTTCTTATTACTTATTGATCATCAACAGGGAATGCTTAAGATGCTGGGAATGGAGATTCAGGAAACTGCCTGACTAAACTCTTTGAAATACCATGTTGAGTCTATAATGTATACACTCACATGTAACAAATGAAATTATCCTTTTTTCCCTCTAGAATAAATATAAAACTGATTTTATTAAGAATAAAAAAATTCTGATGAAAGCCACGTTAAAATTGCAAAGGTAACCCCACACTTCACAGTATGTCTATATCCAGGACGTTTGTGTAACCTCCTGCCGTATTTTTTAACTACAGGAAGAAATGCCACTTTCTCAAGTCTTCTGCCTCATTCAGAGTTTAAGTGTGGCTGTACTGAATTAGTGCACAAGATCATATGGAAAATAACTGGGAGAAAAACAAGTGGGGAGAGGACCGTGCTTCTCCTTAAGACACTTAGAGGTCACCAAGTGATAGTGGACTCAAGCCTTGGTTATGTTACAGTGTCTGTATAATGTTTAAAAAAAACCAAACCAGCTTTTCAAATGGATAGACTAATTGGATTAAATCCACAGAAACAGTTGTCTGATGTTTTGCATAGAACTGTGAAAGGAAGTCTTGCCAAGGTTTTGTTTTCAAGGCTCATTTTTTAACCATAAATTGCAGTTTTAAAAATTACTTCTCAAAGCTTTGACACTAGCCGCTATGGGGCTGTTGGTCAAAGTTTATTGCAGCTATTTAACATTTTTCTGATTTCTGTTTCTCAAAAAGCTACAATTTAAAATAGCACATATTGAAGGAATAAATCTCAGTATCTTGAAGTTCCACAAGTCTAACTTTTCTGTTTACCACCTTAAGCCAGAGTTTCCAAAAGCATTTGTTACATTTTTGCTATTTGTTATTGGGAAGGCATCTGCTTTAGTGATCCAGCCTGGACAGGTTTACTGCAATTGTGATAGTCACCGCATTACTGCGTTATGGGTGTCAACAGCTAGAACATTCTGTCTAGCTCCTGTGTTTCTAATACTGCTGGAGACTTAATCATCATGACTTCATTCCTTAAGTTTTGCGCATGTCACTGTAGTTAGCACTTAGAGTGACTACTAGTGACTTATAGTGACTATTGTAGTAGTCACACAGTCAACTGAGTTATGTCTTCGCCTCTTTTCACGTTAGCTTCAACAAGAAAATGCATTGGCTTACCTTAAAAAACAGCAACAGGAGCTGGAGCACATGAGGTTGCGCTACTTGGCAGCAGAAGAAAAAGAACTGGGGAAGAGAGACCGACAAGAGCTGGAAGATATCAGAAATGAACTTAACAGGTATAAAAGCATTTGTAAAAATCTGCCTTCCACCCCCCCTCCCCCCCCTACCCCTGCCCTTTTCTTGCCATCTGCCTCCAGACAGAAGTTTTGGTTAAATGAAGATTATAATTGGCTGTCAGTCTAATGAAAGAACACAGTTTAGTGTTCCTTAGGTAAATATTGCACATTTCTAAAATGCAACAGTACTACAGTATAGAAAATCTGTGTTGAAGGCCACTGTACACTGTTTTTTGTTATGGTCATAGGTGCACAACACCAGGCTCTTTCCAGCTTTAAACCCTTAGTTCTAAGGATAACTGCTGCATTAAGAAACGAAAGTGGCACATACTGTTCATATCCTGAATACATGAAAATTTCAAATATGCCAGATGTCCTCCAAAAACTGTCTGCAGTAATTCTGTATGTTGAATCGCTTTGAGTGTTGTTTGCGTTATAAAAATAGGAGGCATAGTAGCAAGTATTGTAGTTGCATATGGATATAGAAATGGTATTGTTAGAATTTAAGCTTTATACTAACACTTCTTTTACTTGCAATTATTCTTCCCTAGAGAGAGGATATTTCATTACCTCCTAACAGGTTTTGTTCTTTTGCAAAGTACTTCAGTAGATAAGTAACCTAAAGACTTAGTGTTGAAAACAGTCATAGCGGTTTTTAATATGGTTCATCCTCTGATTCTCTCCATCTTATCAACATCAGGCTGAAGCAACAAGAAGAAGAGAGAAAGCAATTGCAAGATGTTAGAGATAATTCTGCTGGTAGAGCGGATAGTCTTCATTCTAGAAAATTAAATGAGAGCATGGATGATTATCTCTCTCGTCTGATAGAAGAGAGGGATACCCTGCTGAGAACAGGAGTGTATAATCATGAAGATCATATTGTAAGTGAACTTGATCGTCAAATCAGAGAAGCTATTACAAAAAGGAACGTCACTAAATGAAAGCGTACAAAAACTTGTTAAAGAGACAAAATTTGAACAGAGTGATCTTTATACACCTGTACTACTTTGCAAAATATGTAAGGTCATACTTAATTTTGCACACTATTGTTAGCTCTTTTTGAAGTCAGTGTAAATATTTGCAGTGTGAACTTAAGCACAACTGTAAGTTTTATGGGGATGGTAATGTTTTTATACTTGTGTGTGTATATATGTGTAAATATATTTATCTGTGTACTTGCTTCTGAAATGTTTTCTACCTCTTTCTGCATCACCCTGGCTAGGTTTATTTGTAAAACCTTTAATATTAATTCTAAAATTTTTGGTCAGTATTGTCATATTTTTCTTCAATTTTCAAAAAGATCTCTTCAGCTATACTAGAGAAAAGTGATGTCAGCTTTTTTCCCTAACAGAAGCAAAGTGCAGCACAGACCAAAGGTCACTTTTTTACTAAATCACAAGGTAATCAATTTTTGTTTCTCCAGCTGGAGCTGACATAACTAAATTATGTGGCAAATAAGAGGCAAGGTTTTGAGTGTGTGGGGAAAAACTCTCAAACTCTATGAAACTGAATCTATAAAAGTAACTGGCCTGATTGTACAGGATGAAAATCCATTTGTTGCCCTAGCAGTTTTGCACATAGGCCAAACCCAAGAGAGCAAGACTTAGTTCAGAAATACATGTGCATTCTCACAACCATCCCTAATGAGGAAAGGTACTTGAAGCACTAATTCAGTGAATTTGTACACTTTAAATTCTGAACACATACATAAATCAAGAGCCTTTCTAAGTAAAGATGTTTTCCTGAATCGGGACCTAACCACTTTGCCATTATTTACCATATTCCAAAGTGTGTTATCCTAGTACCACTTAAATTGTATATAAAGTTTTCTTTAGTTGTGGAAATGCAAATAGGTTGCAGTCTCAAGGTGTTAAGCACCAGAAGAGTAATCCACAATAAATGTTAGTTTGTGCATGATGAGTTGAAAAAGCTTTGGTTTCCAACCTTTGTTCTGTTGCAGTAATTTTAGCACAAACATAGATATCAATGCAAAAATACCTTTTTTCTTTTTACATAAAATGAATTACCTTCCGTGGACATGGGTGTATACATGTGACCTTCCTGTTATGTATGGTATTAATTATAACTTTTTTAATATCATGTATCTGGCTTTGCCTCTAGATGCATTGTTTTTCTGCCTGCATATTGTGGGTGTATCTCCTCTTAAACTATTCATTTAGGCTTCTTAGGTTTAAGCTGTTTTAACATGGAGATTGTATTCTGTGAGGCATTACCACTTATCAATACCAGCCTTTGTAAGAAATGCTTTTGTAATATTTTGCACACTCTACTGTATTTTTCAATTAGTGTGCCTACAAAGACCCTTCTCTGCTAGTAAATAACACCTTCATAAATGCAGTACGAATCCCTGAAAATAACACATTTTTAACATCAGGGTTTTGTTGTATCCCTGGTGCACCATTATATGCAATTGTAAATGAATCTGAGAGCTTTGCTTTTGCCAGGAAGGCTTGCTCACACTTTTTCTTCAAATGCTTGTTCACTTTCTAGAAGTGTAGTTTCTTCTTCAGACATTGGAGGGTGCCTTAGACTTAAAGATCACAAAGATTGTGTTTAAAGTTTCATAGCTTGGTTTTTTTTTTTTTAACTGGTATTCTGTGACTTTTAAAGTTGGTTACTTTAAATAAAATTGAGATTTTAAGTAAATACTAAGGATTTTGTGTTTATATTTAGAGTATGAACAAAAAATTGTGTACTATTTCAGGTAATGTAACAATCTTTAGTGCTTGAATCCATAAAATTGACAAGTTCATTTTCAAAGTTAATTTCACTTTTTGACTTCTAATTGAGTCTCTTCCATAGCTTGTACAGAGGACAGCAGTTATGTTGCTGTGGGTTGTTGTGGTTTAAAAAGAAACTACTCAAGTGAGTTTTCTTTCTCAAGTCATCGCAGGTATTCAGTAAAACAAAAGGTAGAACAGTTTTTGGTTTTTTTTTTAAACAATTAAGTCTGATCTTAATGTATGTAGGTCCATTTTGTCCTTTGAAAGTTCACTATTTACAAGGTGAGAAGCATGACTTCAGTGATCATTAGAAAAGTGGCAACATTTTTGTTTTGTTATATAGTCATTTCTCTTATTGTCCATTGTTTGTATTAGAATGATAAAATGAATGCTACTTGAATGTTTCAGTTTCTTTGTTTTCTAGCACAATTTATAGCACATAGAGTACTTCACTGAAGTACTCTAGGAAAAAAAATATCTGTATTTGTCTTAGATATCTATAAGAGATGAGTTTAACATTACTTTTTTAAAAAAAAAAAAAAAAAAAAAATTTGGTTTGTTCCATTTGCCTTTTTATTGCCTGAAAACCATTTTAAAGATTATGGCTATTCAGTGGAAAGGCCAAATACTATTTTTTTTTTTTAATCAAAAATCTAACTTCTCTTCATGGCAAAAGAAATGCCGTTTGAAACAGATGCATGAGGTAACAAACTTATTTTAATTTCCCCTGCTTGAAGAGATGGCTGGAAACTGAACCCATTTTTACGGCCTCAGTCCTGGTTCTGTGTGCCTCAGACAAGAGGGTGGGAAGGGCAGGAACAGCTACGCTCTCCTGGCATTCTGGCAAACTCCTGCTGTTGATTTTAATGCACCCAGATTTCTCTAGAGAAGTTGATGGAATTATTTCAGAACAAATACTCTTACCAATATGTTTCTGTGAGCCCAAATAGCCATAAAAATTAATAAATGAGGGGGGCGGGGAAGGCTGTTCTATGTCAGTTCCATGTCAAATCAATTCCAGCTTTCATCTGCCTTACAATTCAGGCCCAGAATTTGCAATTGGCTTTGGATAAGGAAACTTTGATTATATCCTATATTTGTCCAATCCAGTCTTTTAAAGTAAAAGCATTAGCCCATCTAAAACCACGGGCTTCTAGAAACTTATTTTTTCTGAAAATCTTCAGGAAGATGAGGATCCTCTTCTCATCTCTGGAGGGGCTAATTATTCTTACAGTGGTGGGAACTTGCTCTTACCAGCCGTTACTACCAAAGTGTTGTCTCAAATTATTTAGTACAGGTTTAAAAGCAAGGCAGCCAGCCTGGATGTGTAATATGTTTGTACATGTTGATATGGAGCATTAGCTAAGATTTTGAGAACTGTTACAAAGAAATGGACTTTTTTTTTCCTCTGCCAATTGTTAGACTGTTTATCAGAAAAATTGTCTCTAAATTCCTGTTTACTTAAGCAGTAGAATGCATTATGAAAAAAAAAGACAAATTATTTTAAAAATAAGATGGCAGTGTTTTGCTTTTAATCTGGATTATTTAAACACATACTTAAGTTACTGGTCTTCTTAGTATATTGTTTTTTGGAGTGAAGCTATAACCTCTGTTTCTGTAATATTTTAGCAGTTTCTCGACACTTAAAACACTAACACACTTTCACAACTGCTGTTGCAGAAAAGAGGCAATGTTGTGTCTGGCAGAGTTTTCAAGTATTCAGTGCATAGTTCTCCCGCTCTGTAGTTTAAAAGCCTCTCCCATCCACTGAGATAAACCTTAATGCACAACTAAAGACGGAAGTCCTTTATCATATCTTCTAAGTGCTACTGAAGTATTTATACCAGTTTTTACATATTTACACAATTATTTATTTTGCTACTACTGTGCCTAAATGATCATGACCTGTGTCAATGCTTGGATAGGAAACACTAGCCCCGCTATTGTTAAAGACAGAACTGTAGAAAGGCGGCTGCATACTTAGATCTCATTTCATTTGTTTCTCCAGGGGGTTGTATTAGTAGTGTTTTCATTAGAAATGTTTTTACAGATGTCAGCTATCCAGATACGAAGTCTCTGTGGTGGAGAAAGAGTCAGGAGTTTGGCATTCAGAACAGAAAGGAGAAAAAAGTCAACTTCGAGAGACTAATTTACAGAAAAATAATTTACTGACTTTCTGATGTATAAATGTACAGTAACCCCATGGCGGCTTTAATGCAGAGTAATTGAATTCTTGAAAGTACAGTTATTTTCTATTCTTAACTTGAAGAAATGCTACAGCCTGTCATTCCCCATCACTGAAGACTAAAAAAAAGTCTCCATTAATAATGCTTCTGGAAAAGTGACACCCACTGCTTTGTAGTCTGGTACTTTTTTTTTTTTCCATGTGAAATACTTGTAGTAGTTTGACAACATTTTAAACAATTTATGTATTACTACAAAAAGTTTTGTTCTAACAATAAACATATGCAGTAGATAATTATGGAAGTGTAGTGTTACTGAATGTTTGACCAGAGGGTTTTGATGCAGTTACTGAGACATAACTGTCATAATTGACAAAACAGTGTTGCATCAGAATTTAGTGGGGCAGATGGAGTCTAGCAGAATGGTCCACAGCATAATACAATTTCAAAAGTTACTGTACATTGCTCATAGCTTTAACTGTACACCCCCAAAAAACCCTGTAAAAATTATTGGAGGACTATGATTTACTATGAGTATCAATCACTGCATTTTGAGTTGAGCAGACAATCAAGTTAATAAAAGCTTTGTAGAATTCAAGTGAAAGTGGGTAATCATAAGTCTTCAAACCTTTTTTATTTGTCTAATAGCTTAGCATAAGTGAGGGAGATTTTTTCATTTTTCGCCTCTGGAGGTGCAGAAAATAATTTTATTGATCTTAACACCCATTGCTTGTACAGGACACTAGCCCCTCAGATAGTTCACCTGAGAAGGCTGCTTTTGGCAACAAGATTAATATTATAATACAATAGGTCATCCAGATCAGGGCTGAGGCACCATAAGCTATTACGTGCTTCATCATCAGGCATGCATGCATGAAGGTTGAGTCCTATTCATGCTAGGCATGAACTTGACATGATACTTCTCATCCAGATAAATAACAGTTTAATAGTTTGTTCTTACAGCCAGCACTTTAAGTAAGTACTGTGGGTATTTTTTCATGAATATCAGTGCCT